ATGTGACCAGTGGCTCAGAAGCCTGCTTGTGCCTTCACACTCTGTCCTAATTGAATACAAACAAACAAAAGAAAGAAAGAAAACCCAAAGTTGCCTCCACTTCTCTCCAGATAAGGCAGCTCAAATAACAGGGATAAATGGAAATTTTACGGATTGTTGGGCTTTTTCTTTTAATAAGATAACATGATAAATAAACCTGCTTCTGTACAGCTATTTAATATTTCAGAAATACGTACATGTTACATGCCAAGAAAGGACCCTGGTTTTCTTGTGAGAAACAAGGTGAGATCATAATCCAAAAAGAAAAACCCCACAAATAAAATTCGAGAAAACAAAACAAAACAAGAGTGATAAGATCACAATGCACAACTACCTACAGTTCTGTACCTACACTGTTAGCCACATTGAACACGATTCTGAAGGAGCAGGAACTGACTTAAATTCAGGAGTCCCTGCTGTCCCCTCAAACTGAATGAGAAAAACAAAGTCAACATCACTTAAACCAGTGGCCACATCGTAAAAACTGTACATTGCTGTCCATTCATTGAAAAAGCAAAGTCACTAGGATGGTAAAAAAAAAAAGTGAGAACTGGTGCCTTGTAACTTTCTGATGATGAACACTTTGACTCAGAGTTGGACAATTATCTCCACTCTCTCTGCACCACGAAGAACAAGAGGCAGAGGACAGTGAGGAGGTAGGGCTCGGCCTCTGCCTGGGCACCAGCACTGCCGGCTTTCTCGTTGGCACTCTTCCCAGAATGCTCAGTGGCATTGTACTCAAACTCAGAAGGGCACTGCTGATACTCGCATCCACTTCCACTTCCTTCCCCGCTACTTTCATCACCTACAGTGAAAAGAAGACAACAGAGATTTGACTGTGCGTATTCTCATCCAGTCAGATAAGAACAAACCCCACACTGGAAATCACAAAGGCTTACTGATATCAAAGAAGTCCACATCATTTCCATTGTAAGCATTCTTCATTTTGCTGGTCATAACCCGAAGAGCCATGATTTGACGAAGGATCAGTATGTCTGGTTTGCTGGTGTCAACTTGGACTTCTGGGTTGTTGCCCTGGTTGGCTAATCCATTTCCTGTCACTGCAAACAGGTACCTGAAAGTAAGAAACGACCCCACTGAAATGAGAGCAAAGGCTTTGCTGAATTCGAGGCTCTCCACTGAGAACGGTGGAATAGAAGTTCTTCCACTTATAATCAACTCTAATTGCTCCTTATCCTGGGAATATGTAGTTTCTGTGACCTCACAGTGACTCTTTGGAAAGGGATCCCTTATTTGTGGCGATTGTCCTGTCAAAGAAAAACACTCTTGGAATGGGTGCTTATCACAGAGTGTGCCAAGGTGGGACATACAGAATCATCAAGAAAGAGAATGTGACCTGTTGAGAAGTGGTGCTTTATAAGGCCAGGATCCTGAGCCAGGGCCATAGGCACTGAATGTTTTGAATAGCGCTTAGCACATTAGAAGAAAATTACTGCCAAGCCTTTTTTAAGTATCTGGGAGTCTCTTTGAACACCTAAATGCCAAAGCCCATACCTAGGACACCTAGAAACTTGCTGTGTCATCACTACCTACAGTGAGCTGTTTCACTTCAGTAACGACTGAGAGAGCCATGTTGGAAGGCCAGCCAGGCACCCAGGAAGGGAGAGGCTGCTATTTCCCTCAGTGGAGGCTGACCTGCTTTTGCCCTTGCCATTCCAGCAGTCATCCTCATTGCCGTTTCCTGCTGCCATCTTCTCATCATTGCAAACAGTGCTTGGGAGAGAGGACCAGAACTTCTTAGCTTGCTTCAGTTTCTCCTTGACATCAGTAACCTAAGAAAGAAAATAAAAAACGGTCCACCTCTGTCCAAATGCAAAACTACTGTGTATGATCCCAGCACTCAGGAGGCTGTAAATAACCCCTTACCCTTTCTTCTGTAAGCAAGTCTATTTAAACTCATTGGGTCTGTCTCTCTGTGTGTCTGCCTGTCTGCCCCCACACACCCCATACAAACAAAAGGGGGGCTAGAGTGGAAGAGGCCAAAAGGGATAAATATGATCAAAACATATTATACACATGTTTATAACAAACAATAGGGCTGGAGAGTGGCTCATTGGTTAAGAGCATTTGTTCCTCTTGCAGAGGACCTGGGTTTATTCTTAGTACTCACTCAATAGCTCACAGCTCTCCATAACTTCAGTTTCAAGGAATCTGATGCCCTTCTGTGACCTGTATCCAAGTGGTATACACGCATACATGCAAGCCAAACACCCATACACATGAAATAAAAGAGTAATAAAAAACACAAACAAGCCGGGTGCTGGTGGCGCATGCCTTTAATCCCAGCACTTGGGAGGCAGAGGCAGGTGGATCTCTGTGAGTTCAAGGCCAGCCTGGTCTCCAGAGCAAGTGCCAGGATAGGCTCCAAAGCTACACAGAGAAACCCTGTCTCGAAAAACCAAAACCAAAACCAAAACCAAAACCAAAACAACAACCACACAAACAAGCAAATAATGTTGTTGACATAAACTCATCTTAAAAAACTAAGCCAAACCCAAACTATGGATGTGCCTTTCAATCATTTCTAAGTATCTCTAGAATTATATACAACTCGTTGTTTCAAGTATAGGCTGAAGAAATATATGCAGGTTTTTTTTATACTGAGAAGTAAACAATCTCTCAGAGGAATTAATAGTTCAAGTGCAAACTGGATCCACTGTCTACCTCCCTCCTCATGTAACTGCCACCAGAGGTCCACCAAGCTCTGTAGCTTGTAAGCACAGTCTATTCACCCCAGGCTTTTACAGTGTGAATCAAGCATCCACAGCACACAGGAAAACTCCACTGGCATAATTCTTCCTCCTTTCACATCAGGACCAGCATCCTGTCAGGCTTCCTGCTCTAGATTCCCTGCTACTATGGGACCAGTACTCCCAGCTTGCCATAGCATATTTCCATGTATAATCATCTATATCCTATATTTTTTTTTCTCCTATCCTAGCTCTATCACCATGCCACTCTGCCCTCAACCCACTTAACTCTAAAATCCTATATACTAAAATGCATCATGGAAGTTTCTATAAAAAAATACTTAAAATAGCATGAACACAAACTGAATGGAGGTTGTTTTTCTGCACGAAGACATTTACTTTGAAACGGTGAGTAGGAAAGAGGAGCCAGTGGTAAAGCTATCTTTTCTTCCTAAATAAGGACTTACAGAGGTACTTGTTCATTTGCTTATATACAAGGTGGACAGTGATCGCATCCGGACATTTTGTGTATGGAGCAAATAATGCCAGGATGTTTTATTTTTTTTTTTGAAGAGTAAGCTAATGATAACCATTTATTACAGTGGCTCAGAATTTCCTGGAGCTGAACAGCCACAGAGGCTTTTTTGTTTGTATTTTCTGGGCAAAGTATCTGACCACAATGGCAGAATTATCATTGTACAGCAAAGGAGGGAATATATGCACAAAGATTCACATAATTCACATATGGGTAACCATACAGATAAAATAATTTTTTAATTATGCCAGGATGTTTTAAATGGCTATTATTTATCTTATTGGTCAAAAAAGTAAGTAACCTTAACATGTTAAATGTTATCATATGGCATCAACTCAGGATTTTGAGTTGTTGACTTGTGAGACTAGCTTGGCTCTTACTGAACAGCTTAGCCTGGTTTTCTCTCCCTTTGTTGAGGTCTTTTGAGACCAAGGCTGTCTTACTGCACTGAGCTTCCCCCTGTGCATAAACTAGTGGCAGGTGCATAACAGCTCAGTAAACACACAGTGACACTAGAGGGAAGTCTGGAAATAACCCATTTCCGTGACTCTCCACATCCAACTATATTAAAAAGTGAACACTAAAAGCTTCACACTTCCAACTAAAAGTTCATTCTCGAGCAAATGTTTGCAGTTCTTTGCCATTACACACACCCATTCGTGCTAAAGTGCTCACCAGTCGGTCCAAACTAGTGCCGGCTGCTGTGGTTGGGCGTTGCTCTGGATGATAAGGTCTGAATCGAGCACTGAAGGCACTTTCAGAGATGGAGCGAGAAATTCGTCCAGCTGGGAGAGGCTTGGGAGGCCCGCAGCCTTGGAAAACCTACATTGGAAGTAAGTGAGTTCATATTAGGGATGTTACATGACAAGACAGAAGGTGTGTCTAGCTGTCCTGACCAGAATCCTTCCTCAATACCTTCTGAGACACTTGGACACTATTATCCTGCATGTTCATGATAGCATCAGAAATCTTCACATCGATGGGATCCATAACCGACTCAATGTTGAAAGGGCCCTCCAGCCTCTCCGCCACCATCAGCATGGCATCTAATAAGGGTTGGAGAAAAACAATACAGCACAGAGAGTAAACCATTAGTTCAGATTTGAGTATCAGTCTGATTATTTTACTGCCCTTGCTATTTTCAGAGGGAGGGAAGGGAAGGGGGAGAGGAGAGGGAAGAAGAGAACACACAGATTTTTTTGCAATTTATTCATATTTCCTAGCAATCTCCACCATTTCAAATTGTATCTACACATTATGTATCAGTAGCTCGCTAAAGTATGACAGGGCCAGATGAATGCTTTGTTCTGTGGCAAGGAAATTGAATCGGGAAGCTTCCATCATTTGGATTATTCAGTCCTTTGCATGTCAGCCAGCACCCAGGTGACAATCTGGCTGGGGGCAGAGTACCATGCCTGTTCTCCCAGACACTTCCCTGGGACCTTTTCCTTTCAGGTTCTATTTACGAGAGTTGAAAACATAAATCAGTTACAATCCTGGCACACCAATTCTTTTCTTTCATTTCTTTTAATGAGACATTTCAGATCCTTGAGTGCACAGTTGGATAATAGAAATGAAAGCGTTCTGGGAATCCTAATGACTTCAAATAATGAAACTTTGAGTCATGCCATTTTTGGGTTAAGATAAACTTGTTTTCAAATGTGATTTAGTAGTAACGCGCATGATTTTTTTGGATTCCAGTGAATTCACAAGACAACACACAGTGCACAAAAATTGTCCATTTGTGGTATGTAGCCTCAGTGATACCTGTATGTCACTTTTAGACTCTGGGGGAACCTGTCATTTCACAGTCAGTGCTGGATTCCTTAAAGAAAACAAGCTGTTATTTGTTTTCTTGCCATATGTGCTTTGGAGGATTATGAGTTGGTATTTTTGCCTGATAATTTGTACAAAATCAGAAGAACTCTTGGAAGTGAAATCCCCCAAAGGGAAAAAAAGGATGCATGATTATTGACACACAGAAAACTTTTGAAAAAAGTGACTTTTGATTATTGTCTGTGTGTCTGTCTGAATGTGTGCACGTGCAAGTGAGAGCAGGTGCCTGTGAAGCCACAGTTCTCTAATCCCCTGGAGTTGGAGCTACAGGTGATCGTGAGGTACCTGGCCTGGATGATGGGAACTAACTTGGGTCCTCTGAAAGAGCAATAAGCGCTCTTAACAGCTGAGCTCAAGTGGTTAGCTTTTAAATGGGGTTTTCTCCTTTACACTCCAGTGATAATGGATGGCAAGCAAAGGAGTTGGATCCCCACTGTCTACTCCTATAGCTACTTCAATGTCAAGAACTAGAAAGGAGTTTTCCTTTTCAGAATTCGGGGTGTCCCTCTCAGCTGCCACCCCAGCTGAGCTTTCTAGTGGGAAATGGCTTTAACTATCAGCATAAAAATGAAATCAAAGTTGGTTATCAACCTAGAACAAATGCTGCACAACATCTTAACCTATGAGACCATTTCTCTAAATACAATCCAGGGCCACCAACAATGAACAGACTTCTGTGAAGTGCGAAGTTTTAAAGTAATAGCAAATATAAGTTTCAGACTGCATTGTGGTAAGCACCAATAAAGTGATGCCTTAACTTTTAAGTAAAGGCTGGAAGCATGAATATGCCATTGTACTACAGGAGAGAGAAAAAGATGCTTTTGATGTGGTAACGAAAGGAGACTTTTGCAAACAAGTGGAGCACAATATAAACGTGTTTGTCACTGTCAAAGCCTCAGGACCACCGCACATTCCTTCACAAAGCCAAGAAATTGCTGGCTCAAAAAAAAAAAAAGTATTACGAATAAACAACAAGCATCCAAACTTCAGAGGCTTAAAAGGGGAGGGGGGTGGGGGAGATTTTGTACCTACTTTTTCCCCTAGTGGTGAGGAAAGGCAGGCCAGATCGATCGCTAATGTGTTTGTGAAAGGAAACATAAACCCCAATTCTTCTGGCTGTTTGGCGTCTTTGTAAAGTCAGAGCCACTGACCATACACAAGGGCCTGGGAATGGAGAGGGAACCCGGGCCTTTGTTGGGGCCGGTGCCATGGCGTTGCGTGTTGCACAGCTGAAGAATGCGACTGAAGATGAATTCTGCCTGCGGCTCCCAGCCCTAAGCCAAAGCTGCCTGTAACCCTGCAGGAAGTCATGACTGGCTGGCCAGTGGTCCTTCGACAGCCACCACCAGTCCCCAAAAGAAATACCAAGAGAAATCCAAAGATGGCTGGTTAGGCGGTTTCCTTTTCTTCTGGTTGATAGAGGCTAAGATTCTCCTATGCACGAGATATCATACTTGTTCCTGCCTCCTGCCAGGAACTGGCTGGTGTCCCTGTCAGCAATTCCAATACTAAATTCCCATTGGCAGCAACATGTGACATTAATAGGGCTGGCTCTGTGTCAAATGAATGTTAACAGAGGCACAGTGTGACAGACAAGTTGAACCTAAGAATAATTTATGATTCTTTGAAAACCAGCTTCTTTTGGTGGTAGTGGAAGGGCAGACATTTTATAAAGGTAAGTTTCCAAAGGCAGTTTCCCATATTTGCATCCAACTTTGAATCCATCCTGATGAAGATTGACAAGACTCAAGCACTTAGAACTTGTGATGATAGGCAGATGCAGTTGCAAAAACAGGGAGAACCCAGCAGCAAGGCTGACTTGGAAAATCCCTGCTTATTTTGAGAAAGAGCTGAGTCTGGTCCAACCACAGGACAGGTTCTGAACACTGGATTTGAGTGGCCCCTCCCAAATCAACCAGAAGAGCATCCCTTTCTTGGGAATCAGCAGGAGAAGGAGGAGACAAGTGAGGGTAATGGGGATGAGTATGATCAAATACACCATATGCATGTATGAAAATATCATACGAAACCCATTATTATGTATAATTAGTGTATGCTCATAAAAACAATGTTGAAAAAGAAGTATTCCCTTCTCACTAGGGAAAGTGATTCCTTTTTCATTGTGCCTCCAATAAATAATCAGAAACCCACATCTTTAGCCTTTAAGAGCTGAAGGTAGTTTCCCAACTTAACCCCAAGATGTGATTTTTAAAAGGGAAGAAACAAATCCTTGACTATTCAGTAACTGTGCAGTCATTTGAACAGCAAAGAAAAATTCCTTAGAGAGAGAATATGAATATTTACAGCACAGGCATGTAATTGGGGCTGAGTTCTACAACCATGGAAGAGATTAATTAAACCCTTGTGAAAAATCCATGAAAAGGAACAAGAGATTAACATGTCTATTATGTCTGGCCTTTTATATATCAGCTTATTAGAAATAAAGAGTAGTGTATCCATTAAAAATGAAGTTTACATACAATTGCATACTACCTCACTCCAAAAAGTATCATTTAAATAGCTGGAGAAAAATCAATTCCAAACTCCTATGCATTGTCGCTCGGGTTTAGTTCTGTTTCTTCACAGACAGCACGCATGATTTGAAAAGTGCACCACAAGAAGAGCAGCAACAACTTAAGGCTGAAAACATGAATTAAGCCAGCCGGAGTGTTTGATATGCTGGGGATTTGAAGGTCTTAGAAGACCTGGAGAGCAATTTGTAGTTTAATGCAAGGATGCAAGAGGGCCTCGGTAGTAGTCGCTGGTGGACAGGCACAAGGTGGAACTACCCCTGCACTGCCCCCAGGGTGCCTGGGTAGGAAAAGAAGTGAAGCTCATTGTCACCACAGGCTTCTGAATCCACATAGCTAACTTCCCCTCCTCTCCTCCCTTGCCCCAGAGAAAGGTCTACTATGTTCAAAGTTAAATAAAAGCCCCCACCACCTTCATTTAAGAATGAAGCTGGAGCCACCTATGGTACAGTCCACCTGTCATCCAGTATTTGGCGGCAGGAGCTAGAGGAGGGTGAGCCTGGGCTACATGGCAAGAAAAAAGAGAAAAAAAAAAACGACTATCAACTCAAAAAATGAAATTTAGGACGAAAAAGTAAGTGAATCACCAACTCGACATCTGGCTATGGGGAGGGGGAGTAAGGGGGTGACCTTAGATAGGGAAATACCATAGCAAATTTTTGATTTTTCTCCCCCAGTTTCATTTCTGTTTGTGGATCCTTATGGTTTTATGCTTCTCCTTTTATGAGAGTCTATTTTTCTGCATGTAAAAGATTGTTCCAGGGTTCCAGCTTTGAGCTATCTAGGCCACAACTGTGTTAAGAGCTTAATAGTTACATCTTTCTCTCCCCGTGTCTGTGTTTAAGAACTGGTGGGAGCCAATTTACTGATGCACTTCCAAACAGACTTTAATATGGCAATTCACTCTCAGTCTAAAATGTATTTTCTTACTCCAATTTCTTCTACTCCAAAAAATTTAAACCCTCAACAAACAAAATGAAACCAAATAAAGCAAAACCAAGCCAGCAAATTACATGCATGCTCCCATGATGTGAAAGATTTAGCAAAACCTTGGCTCCTATAAAGACATTTCAATCTGCAATTCTGTAGATGTGACTAGGAGACAGAAGAGTGAATTGGTACACTCTAAGCACGGGAGTGCTGTTCTACCAATACTAAGCTTTATGACCCTCAATATTGGCCATGGAGGTTGCAGAACTGATGTCCACGCTGGGCACTAAAGTAGACGACTGCTGGATGTTTAAATCACATTTATGTTTTCCTCGAAATCGTAATTGCCCTTCTCAGAACCTACATAGTTTGCTTACAGTGCCGTCTGGGTTCTAGTAATGGTTTCCTAAGTGGCAGAAAAACTCAACAATCCTACTTCCTAAATAATCAGAGGGAGCATCAGTCCGCTCACGTAAAAGGACTCTACCATGGCTAAGTCCCCTACAAAAACAAGGCCTGTAATTTTCCACATCAAGGTTCTCCAGATCCGATGATCAAATAGCTATCTGATCAGTTTGCCAAAGATTTGGTTGCAATGTAAAAGAAAGAACAGTGTGTGGGGGAAGGTGTGGGTTTATGGATGGGGGGTATGCCAGAGGATAACTTCAGGATCCCTAACAATGCTACCCTCAGCTGAATATTTTTGAGACAGGGTCTTTCACTGACCTAAAACACAGCACTTATGCTAAGCTGATTGTCTCTACTTCTCAAGCCCTGGGATTACCAGTGCACCACCACACCTAGCTTTTTTTCTGATTGAGGAGATCAAACAGAGGCCCTTGTTCTAGCAAAACAAGCACTTTACCAATGGAGCCACCTGCCCAACCCAAGAGAGAATCTTCAAAGCTATTTCATAGTTTTGTGAAGACTGAACATCAGAGTGAACATGAACACAGACCTGGGATGAGTACTAAAACTGCACGTTTCACAGAAAATATCAAAAAGATACCCTCCTGCAGGATTCAAAGCCAGAGCATCTAACTGTCTTCTGAAATGCCACCATTAGTGCGAGAGGACACTGACTTCAGTGCTGATTTTACTACCCTCAAAGTACTGGGTATACAGCACAGCCAGGACTCTGGCAAACATCTAACATTAAAATGAATAGAAAATTAAATAGCTAGCAATTACAACAGTCCTTGTGGCCAGAAGCGGAGTCTTCTCTAGTAAAACAATACATCAATCACTTGCTCACCTATGAAATTGTTCCACTCAAAATCAAGGTCTCCTTGGTTGGCCAAACAGCCTCTCATGATGTTCGAGCAGTAGTTGTAACAGGGCTTCACGGTCACCAGGCCCCGGCAGTGGGAGCAGTAGGTCATCTTCAGCAGGGCTTGTGTGCACTGGGCTGTGGGGTTCACCTAATGCGGAACAAGACACAACGAAAGCCATAGTCTGGTTACAATAGACACAACGGACATCGGGTCCTATTAAAGATGAGTTCATAGTGTTCTCAATTAGGAGGCTTGACTCCAGTGGAAGTAAAGTAGAGTGGGCATTAGAGAAGAGGAAGACAGGTGCTGAAAAGCTGGAGTTAGAGTTGGGGTGAGTATCAACAGAAGTTTTGTTTTGTATCCCTTTGCTTGTTGAGTGCTACTGCAGATGGAACTCAAGATCTTGCTGTAATCCCTACTTTTCAGTACCAGACTGAAACATAGCCATAACTTCTCAAATACTGATTACAAGACTTTGCATGTTAACCCCCAACTATGTTTTCCAAGGATACCCCGTGTATACTTTGTTCTATGTCCAAAGCTATGAAGAAGGTGAAACTACATGCTACAGGGCAAGGTCTGAGTAACTTTAAACATTGCAGGGTTTGTGGGAGTGCTTGTGTAACATATAATCAAAGAGATGAGGCTTCTGCTCAATTTTGAAGAAGCTACCAAATTTCAGTGGAGAAGCAAATGAAGATCATCCCAGAGACATCAATGGGCTGAATAAACAGGTATGCAACACAGTTCTTTTTTAGAAAAAGGTTGAGGGATCTCGGATAATAATGCTGCCTAGGCGGGGCGATGGAGGCTTGGACACTGAGCAGAAACCCTATAGATGAAAGTCTGTTAAGGATTCAAACAGCAAAGATAAAACCACTACTGAAGTCAGACTAGGCTAGCCACCCTCGACAGAGAAATGGCATTTACTGTCTGTCATCTTTCTGGTTCTGTAGGATAAAACTGTTTGGGGTCATGAAAGAGCCAATTCTATCCCATCATTCATTCCCATCAATAGTTCGAAAGGATCCCAGCTAGGTATCACATGCTGCCAGCTAACTGAAAATTCCCGACACTCTCTGCCCTCTTCTCTTCTGGAGCCTTTATCAGTAGATTAGTGAGTGCATTCTTCACTATCACCAGGAACTAGTTCTTCAAGCACAGATTCTTAGAAGCAGATACTATCGCCGGGAACAAGTACTGGGATGCAGGGTGGCTAGCAATGCATGTCACCTGCTCTGGTTGTTACTTTTGATACCGCTTAGGAACAGGAACTGATGGCACTGTCAGGCTATCTGGTGCAGGTGAGTGCGTGTGCACAAATACACACACACACACACACACACACACACACACACACACACACACACACATATACCCCCACAGCCACCAATTACCCTTCTCTGGCTTATTCTCAATACAACTCCAGTGTAAAAGGGAGAAAGCATGCAACAACAAGATAACTGTATACAATAAAGTTAACATTCTTTACAAAGAGTTAGGATTTTTCCACAGTTTTAACCAGTCCCAAATGTTTTCCAAAGCTTTAAATTAGTCCCTTTAACTGTGTATTAATGTACAGTAAAATTCTGGCTAACTAACATCCTTGAGAAATGGCCTCTCTGGATAACGAGATTTTCTGGATAGCTAAAGGTTCATTCCTTTGGAGCCACATGTTGTTAGGACTTTGATACTCCTTCACCTCTCGTTTTATAGATGAAGAAACAGGCCTCGAGGAGGAAGGGTGCCCAAGTCATAGGATCACAGAATTCTGCATTGGAAGGGGCCTAACACCATGGATGCTGCTCTCACATTGTAGAGATAAGCAAACTGCAAGCAAAGAGATTAAACAACCTGCTGACAGCCACCCTCCCACATTGATTCCGAACCTTATCAAACATTGTGACACAAAGATTTCCCAGATGTGTCACGTTTTCCTGCCATCCTAAACATAAGATAGGGATTTCTATTCTTAGGCAGTGCTTACTTTCTTCTTTATTTTTAGTTTCAGTCCACATTAGAGAGACTTCTAAATGGCTGGAGCTTAAGAGATGTACAGGTTATGTAAATGACTTATAAAAAAACCCATGACACAGAGAAGCTAATAAACAAGGAAGACCCTAAGAGAGACATACATGGTACCCTGGAGAAGGAGTAAGGGACAAGAGTTCCTGAGCAAATTGGGAGCACAAGAGGAGGGAGGAGGGAGCTAGGAGAATGAGAAGGGGAGAAAAGGAGGGGAAAGGAGGACATGAGGGAGCAGAAAGGTTGAGTTGGGGGAAGAACAGAGGAGAGCAAGATAAGACATATCATAAGAGAGGGAGCCATTATAGGTTTAAAGAGAAACCAGGCACTAGGGAAATGTCTGGAGATCTACAAGGATGACACCAGCTAACCATCTAAGCAATAGTGGAGTGGCTACCTTAAATGCCCTCCCCTGATAATGAGATTGATGACTGACTTATATGCCATCCTAGAGCCTTCATCCAGGAGCAGATAGAAGTAGAAGCAGACACCCACAGCTAAACACTGATCTTAACTGGAATCCAGTTGCAGAGAGGGAGGAGTGATGAGCAAAGGGGTCATGATGATGATGATGATGATGATGATGATGATGATGATAGAAGAGAGTGAGAAGGAGGCAGAGAAAGAAGAGGAAGAGGAAGGGGAAGAAAAGGAGAAATAGAGAACAGCACTTGGTATGGTGAATATTATTCTTAAGAACTGGCAATGCCCTGGTGGAATAAATGTAGAAAGCTAAAGTGTCAACGAGTAGATATTGAGCATTTGATAAGTGTCTGGGATTATTATTTTAGATATCAAAGTAAGTGAGAATTTCTGCATTAGAATATGCAATCTGTTCTATAGAACACAAAGAAATCCCAAGGCAGAACAGACCTTTCAGAAATAAACAGAAATGTTCAAGTCAAGGTCAACAGCACATTTAAGAAGCATTTTCCAAGGCATTTTCATGGAATGGGGAAGATAACTCTAGGAGGCAACATATTACAACCCAAGTTTAACTGCAAGTCAAATCATTAATACAGTGGGCCTTGTGATGATACCCTCCCGTAAAGGAGTCTGATGTAGTCTCCAGTTAAAAATAAGAGATCAGATGAAATGACTCGACACAGTGGGGTTTTGTTAAAGAAAGATTATGGAGCTGAGTATGGCAATGTTTTTCTATTTCATTTTTTGGCTAAGTACTGGCTCATGCTCTGTGTGTGTTTTGTTGTATAATAACTAAAAATGATCACAAGGCACTTGGCTATAAGATGCTATGGGAACACTAAATAATACTACAACTGTAAAGAGAGATGGAGAAATTATAAGACAACTGGGACAAAGGAACATGTTAAACACTAACGCTAGAGAAAAATGTTCTTTCTTTTCATAGTCATAAATCAGACCACCATGCAATAGATCACATGAAAGGAATTCAGGACCTGGGAAGCAAACCCCATTTGTGGGATAAGATCTTATATAAAGGGAAGAGTTTTTAAATAGCCAGGAGATCTAAAGAGGTAGGAATCCCCTGTAGCACCTCTCACTTCTGGAAGACATTTCAATAAACTAGCATTCCAGGCCTTAGGCCACAAGTTTACCAACCTGCCCAAGCTTGGATGGTAAATCCAGTGTAACAAGAGCAGCTCTTCACTCCAATCCTGCAACATCCCCACCTCCTGGGGCTCAAGCCAATGGCTATCTCAACTGGAACCACACAGGACTTCTTAATACAAGGCAAAATAGACTGATAAAGAGCCGAAGGCATGCCAATAAACACAGGAGAGAAAATCCCAAATAAGAGTGTATTATGCTACATTTGAAATTCCCTTCTGGAGTCTCTGTTGATCCAGCGATGGTCCTTGCTGCCTGTTACATGGTAACATGCCATGCACTGCAGGATGTTCCTCCACAAGTTCTCACTGGGATCTCTATACTCCTGGATAGAAGTGAAATTTCCATCTTTCTCACTCATAAGCAACCATACAGTGCATAAAGCCCTTTTTTGTTTTAGGACCACGATGGCCTTGAACTCAAGAAATCCACCAGCCTCTGCTGAAATTAAAACTATGTGCCACCATGCCTGCTCTGGAACCTTTTAAAAGGTAAAACCAAGTCTATTTATATTGTATTCCCTGGTAACCATCAGAGTCAACTGCTGCCTTCTATACATTTAAAACTTACAGAAGTAGACTTACTTTAGAAGTTCCAAAATCAAGTAGCAGCTCATGCCACGTGGGGAATAATTAAAAGAGTGATATACTCCAAGGTCTTTCTTTAATCCTCAGTTATGTATTTATCCTCTATGGTGCAGCATGCCACTTAAAATGTTCAATCCAATTGTTACTTTAGGGCACATGTCTTGACTAAGAGCTATTATTCTTTTTTATTCATTCAGTGGGGTCTGCTGAGTCCAGATGTTAGCCACTCCCAGAATCCTTAGTGCTGAGATAAGAACTGGGGTGGAGCGTTTTTTGATTATATTTCAAAATGTCACAATTTTTAGACTTCTCTTGGGGATGTAGTTATGTTTCAAATGCTTATGAAGACAGAACAGGAAAACTATATATATACTTCCCTTCCACCTTTGAACAAAAAGAATGATTTAAAGCACCTAGAGAGAACATACTTGTATAGCTTTTACAGATTCGTTTCTCTCTCTCTCTCTCTCTCTCTCTCTCTCTCTCTCTCTCTCTCTCTCAATTATCTGTCTATGTATTTGTCTGTCTCTCTCTTTCTGTCTTTCTCTTTGTGTGGTGGTGTTTACACATGTGTGTTGGGTCAGTCAGGTCTGAGCAATGAGTCTGACTAACGAAAAATGGTTGAAGAGGCATTTGAAGGAACAGTTTGTGTGTGAGAGAGAATGTATGTGGAGGCCAGAAATCAACCTTGAATTCTTCAGGAGCTATCTACCTTGTTTGTTCATGATAATGTTAATACAGGAGTCTCTCACTGGCCAGCAGCTCACAAATTAGGCTAGACTGGCAGGACATTGATCTCCAGGAATGCATGTCTCTCTCTATCCCCAGTGCTGGGACTCTAAGCATATATTGCTTGCTGCACCCTGTTTTTTTTTTTTTACAGGAACAGCAGGAGAGAGGAGAAAGGAAAGAAATTGAGAGAAAAGAAAGGGGGAGTAGAGA